TTTGCGAGGCGCCAAACAAATAAGATTTCATCTTGTTGTAATTACATATGCACATGGTATGAAATAGACTGGACTGGAACCTTTCTAGACAAATCACATCTCTGCGTGCTCGTTCGAACATTGTCGCATTACAAATCATAAGACACTTGACAGCCATAATGGTATGTCAGACATTTAATACATACCTCATCACTTTTGGGAAACAATTAATACGGAAGCTGTGTGACGCGTTGCGTGTCAGTCCAGTATAGTATTTTGACACACACACTTAGAACCCTGTCAAATGTACATTAATACCTACATGTACCCTCTAAGTGCTCATCCAATAATAAATAGGCTTTTGGCACACTAAACAACCCCTTCCCCATACTTTTAACAACTATGAACGTTCACAATAGAGTTATGATATTTACATGTAAGTATATACATGTAAATATTAGGCGGTCTGTATAAAATGACAAGGCGGGGTATTGCGTTTGGTGACTTTACCTTGTTTTTACAGTGAAGAAGAATGGTCTTAATGCATTCTCATGCAAGTCATATGTAGACGGCTGTCTAGTGAGACGATGAAAAAGAGTACGAAAGTGGTTTAGTTTGGTTTAATTTTGTTTAACGTCCTATTAACAGCTCCTCTATGCCTCAATGTGTGTAGTGTATGCGTGCTTGTGTGTGTGTGTGTGTGTGTGTGTGTGTGTGCAGAAGACAATGCATGTTGGTTTGCTTGCCTCCTTGTGATAGTGCGGATCTGATGCCGACTTCATAGTGTTATCTCACTGAAATAACATTCCGAAGGCACCCAGCACAGCATTCCGCCCGTTCACACTATACTGACAACGGGTGAACCAGTTCTTTTCATTGTTAATGCTAAACGTTAAACAGAGAATAACAACTACCATTTTTCAGGACTTTGTTATGTCCCGGACTGGGGACAGTACCCATTGCCTTCTCCATCCGGGCGAACGGTCAACATTCAAGCTAAAAGTGAGGTGTTACCAAGCAAGGCACGAGGAAATAAAAGGTTGTTAGTAGTGCAATGGTTGCAGCAGATATATTTTGATCGCTTTTGCGTCCCCAAATAGAGGACATCAAAGCAAATCCCTTATTCTGCAGGGGTTCCAACATTAGTCGCCTCCTACGATATATATGCAATGGGTAACAACAGGTGTATTCTTTTCCCGATCCCCAATCTGCAAGGGTGAAAACGAAAGTTAGAAAAGAAAAGATGAAAATATAGTTATAATGGGAGCAGCAAATCAATTTCGGCTACTTCCATGTAGCCCCATTTCCGGAGCCCTTACATTGCTTGCTTTTACAATACAATGTACAATGTAACATGCAGTTGGATACAACCGGCCTATTCATTCTCCGTACTTTCAAGGGTTATGCGGTTTAACTGTCAGGTTTGTGAGAACAATACTTTGCTAACTGGTTAAAAAGTAACATGTTATAGATCAATCAAATTTGAGAAATAATTTAACGTGGTTATATAGAAGCACAAATGTTTTTAAAACATAAACAAACTGAATTAATATAACACAAACACGACACTGCAACAAAAATCAATTACCACATTTGCATGGAATATATCTAACGTCATTTTCGTTACATACATTAAAGCTAATGAGCATTTTCTCTTCTTTTATAGTGTCCTTTATCTCATTGATACCTTTTTTCTTTTTCAGGAATCATCGGTCAAATGTAAGTGACACGTCCGACATACCACCTGTGCAAGTGTAAGGGAAGATACAACTGTTCTAACCCACTGAATGATCGAAAGAGGCAATTAATTAATTATTTATTACAGAACCGGGGAAATCACCATGGCATTTCGAAGAAAAACTTTAATGTTAAGGGTTTAGTGAAAACTATCTTTATGGAAGGAATGTAGAACATGAAATTCCGAGCTAAATACTTCGAATTGGATTATTTCATGATATGCTGAAAAACATTTCCATTTCCTATTTTGAATTTTAAAATCAATTTTCCCCATTTTTTCATTTGTCCGGTTGCCTGTCGTAAACAGACATGACCTATTCGACCATAAGGGCAACGGGACACCTATATTCAACAAAGGGATATAGAACCGTAATATAATTGAAAGATTTGTGTATTTTTAAGTAAGCAAATGCCAAATTTTATAGCAATGCTAGTTGGCACATAGCTGGGCAATTATGCGACTTTACGATAGGACATAAACGCGCGTTTCTTTCTTTTAAAACTGACATTTAACTCGGTCCGTGGTGCAAACTTTGGCTTGTTTTGCCATTTTGCACTTTTATCAAGTCAGTTATATATCAATTATAAAGCGGAGTGGGTTGTGCTGTACACATGGTTAATCACATGGGTAAGTTTGTATTGCATTTTCATTTACAGAAACGACACCGGAGTTGGTCTCCTAACATTTCCATCTACATAAACCAAGCCAGTATTGGTAAACCTTACACCGCCAATACACATAAACAACGCCGGAACATGTACCTTAATATATAATTCCCGCTAACATTAACAAAGTAAGCGGAATTTCGGAATTCTTAACCTGTCCCTTACTAACATCTTTCATCAATAACGCAAGAGTTTGTATCTTATCGAGCCCTTTTACATAATCAATTTATATACAGAGAGTCTTAAATCTGTTCAGATTACATAATGACTTTATGACATGTGTGTTAGTGAGATCAATAGAATCTTTCACTCCCTTGGGGGTGAGACAGGGTAATCTCAACCCGAGGGGTAAGATTCTTGAGTTGTCAAACCAAGGGGGTGAATGATTATTTTTCTCTTACTGTTTACCCTCTTATGTATTTTATGTAGACGTTACATCAATGCAAGACAATGTTGATGTGATGCGGCTGAATTGTCGACGTGACGTCATTGTATTGTTGCCGTGACGTCATGGTATTGTTGCTATGACGTCATACAATTGTTGAGAACGTGCAAAGAACACGTGTAGCTTATCTCAACCCAAGGGTGAGATAAGAAAATCTCAGACCGGTAAAATGGTGGATATCCCTGTCTAGGGTAAGAGAATATAAAATCCATATGGATTTGCTACTTTTTAAGATATGTAGTATCACTTATGACCATGTTTAATTACACATTATTGTTCCATTTAATCTGCCTTTTGTCATCGTTTTGTTTTGTTTTTGGTATTGTTCCTCGTGATTAAACAAACTAGAATTGGTGATGTATCATATTAAAATGTGATGTTTTTTACACTGCATGTTATTCTGTGTACGATGACTCATGTTTTTTACACAGCTCTACCAGGTATTATCCAATATCATTTCTAAGAATTATCTCACATACCAATACAGAACAGTGTTACAAAACATCTCTCATATTTCTATACAATTGCTCCAATATTCTATCATGTCTCTTCCTGCCATTCACTTACTGCGTATTAGCTGTCCCTGTATGACCTTGTATTGTACAGTGTATGCTACAGTGGTTACGTACAGATGACAATAAATTGTAGTACATTTGTCAAGCGAAACGTCAGTTTTACATTAAACAATTGCTGTGCAATATATTATTCATCGTAACAGCCCTATACTGATCAAGGTAAGATATGGCGATATTGAATTAAAACGTAACCAATTTGTACATTTCAACAACCATTAGGTAATGTTGCTTGTGTTCAATCAACTATCAATGTGTTTAGCCATCACGAGTTTGTGTTTCCATGCAAGTACAATGTTCTCTGGCCAATGGTCAAATTGACTAATAATCGTAACGTTGGGGGGTTTTGAGTACAAACATACAAAGATCTGTGTGGATAGTGTGGCATCTATCTCTGTTGGATGCACGAAATTTAACTGAAATAAACAAACAACTTGTATATGATATATTTTTAATTGAGATTCTTTCCGCAAATATAAACATCAAATGATCAACAGGGGTTGGGACACTGTAGTTGAAAGGGGTTAATCTAAATTTCGATACGGATCCTGATTCAATAAGGTAGTCTGCAAAAAGAGCCTTGGAATCCTTGAACTCAAATTTATTGGCAAAATAATAAAATAAGCCAGCTTTGAAAATAGCCAGAGTTGCATTAAAACCATGTTTTCACGTAGAAATCGCATTTTCTGCCTCCCTTTCATGACCCAAAGATGTCAATTTGTTTTACGACCTAATTGAATAGACATTAAATGTTAATTTCTATTGCTGTTTTTGATACATTTGGGGTTGACTAATTCGCAGTAAGTGTAGATCTTTCAGTCATTGAATGGTTGTACCAATTCCCATTCTTTCAGAAACATCGAAGTCCTTTCCAAGGGGGTTAACTGTCAGTCCTTACAAGTGCTCATTGACATAAGCACGATTGAATGTAGCTAAGATTATGATATTCTGTCGTTCAGCGAACATTTGAAAGAGGGACATATTTAATAATGACAGAATTTAAACAAATAATGTGTTGACTGTTACCATGATGACTGACAGAACACAGTTGTCAAGGATACCAGAAAAGTACTGATGTTTACGCACATAGCTTAGGTGGTCGACCTTCCAGTTTTTTAAATCGAGATCAGGGTCACTGTCGACTTACATACGCATTGATAGTAGCATGAAAGATATGGGGGGGGGGATTCATCGATGTTTATATTGATAGCATGTAATACTAAAATTAATAATTCTAGATTAAAGCTAATATGATGTATGCGGAATAACTTCAGGTAAAAACGTTTAAATGTTTACACTATTAGCCCCTAGCATTATCGATGAGTCTTATAGGGACGTAGTAACTGTATGGTGTAGTGCGATTCTCTTTCGGATATAATGTATCTAGCACTCAATTTTAATGATGCAGTCACCTATGTGCTTTTTACGTTCACTCTTCATTATAAAGCATAATCTAAAACAATGGTATGACTTGTCTGTATATAAATTTTCAAGTGAAAACAATTAAACTTTCAATACTGAAAATATATATTTATAACTGGAAAATTAAATAATGTTTTGTATTTCTGTAATCAAAGTAAGGAATGAAAACGGTTTCTTACCATGTCCGTGTACATAGGTCCCCGTCAGTAACACCAACTTTGAAACTTATTGGTAAAGCCATATCTATTTCATGGTTGAAAAGCCAATCCTTGCCTAGTTAAAACACTGTTTACATCACGTTACAGACGATAGCCGTCTCACTGTTTAAATCCAATCCTTTGTTAAATTAGCCAAGTGTTCTGTCCTGGTCTGGACACAACCTCCAGGGGAAATTACTTGTCAGCATCCTTGTTTATGTTTTCGTAGTCTATATAATTCCAAGTACCATTTTGGAATCTATGTTAAAACAGTCATAACGAAACCTACCTTATGTTTTTACACTTATGTTTTACCACACAGTAGAGTAGGTAGGTTCGGTCTGCACGCTCACACCTCCGCTCGTGCGCTCGAGACCGTTAATCACGACAATTCCGAGGAGAGTGTTATTAGCTACATAACAGAAACCGCGTGTGATCACCTGTACGACGGCTGGAATCGACAAAATACGGCAACATCATCCTAAAAGCTTTAGTATTAATTATAGACGTCCTCTAACTAAGGGATTTGTATGTTTACATTACAACTGTAGACAGGTGGTCTGTGTTGATGTTTCATTACCTCGGTAAAAGAAGGCAATGCTAGTTTACAATCCTTTCATTACGATACGTCACGGTACACGTTCCAGTGGTTACATTTTACCTATATCACGAGTGTAAGCGGTAAAAAGCTGATTATATTATAGTTAGTTTTGAAAAATGTATATCCCTGTTTATTACAAATGTAAATATATCAAGACTGCTGATGATTGCTGAATGTGTAGATAAGTTTGATTTATATATGTATATCCCATATAACGTGGATTTATTAACTTATACATCTTCTAACGAGAGGGTAATGTGCGATTGCTACTAGACCTAATTTCAAATAGAGATCATAAGAGTATGTACAGGATTTTATTGTGACATATATATCCTTGGGTGTATCCAGTAGTAATAAAACCTATAACAGGTCTATACAGTGTTAGTGTATAAAGCTTTCTAGGAAATCACATGTGGTGAGTGTGTAGGCCGGCGAACTAGCTCATGCTAAGGTATTATACAACTCAATCCGTGCAGACACATCCATGCTGGAAAAGCATCGGATGACGTATGGAGACCATCTGTGTAAGGGAAAAAGAGTCATGGGACCGGAACTTCATATAACACCAAATCAGGAATCCGCGTTAGGGTCAAATTTAGCGTCGATTGTTCAGCGCCTTAAGGAAACGACACATAATCTAAATATACTATGTGTAGAGGTTTCCTTGGTCATTTAAGTGCCAGGCATACTTGAAGACTTTATATAGACACACATCCGTAGGAGGGTTTCATATCATCTAGTTAGGTGTCCGAATTCTGGTTAATTCTCACACAAAGTGGTTTTGTGCCGTGAGGAAGCAACGAAGTTTAATAAACAAGAGCCTTCTACAAGCAATGTATACGCGTTGTATAGCAATTCGAACATCCCATTCAGTTTGTGGGGAAGAATAAACATGACGTAATGGTTAATAGAGATGTTAGATAACCAAGCTGTTTGTTAGTATCCCTAACTGCATCTGTAATGGAGGATATGGGACGTTAGTCCATTTTGTTAATTTTAAAAACGTAGTTCAAACATTAGCCTTCAGCAAACAGGAAAGAACAATTATAATAATATAAGAGATATCCAATCTCTTTTTGAAACAGTCAGTATCTCTACAATTACAATAATCTACCTTAAAACTGTGTCTGTTCAAAAAGATGTAACTAACCATAACAACTTTCACTTTTAAAGTTGACCCTTGTCTTTTACCTTGATGTTTGATGGTATTTCGTTTAATATTTTTCAGTTTACTTGTTATTGTCCCTGAGGACATCCTGTGCCCTCAAAAATTCATGAAAACATTTGGGCTGATCAAATACTGTCCTAGCATTGTTGTTATGACGTCATAGAAAGAATGATATAACTAATCGCGTAATGCGACATGTAATTGTGACGTTATTTCATCAAAATAATGGACGTAGTACAGAAGCTGTTATATTGCTGACTCAATACAAATTTGTACAGTTGTAGGATCGCACAACGTTACATGATGTGCGGTGTTCGCACGCTGTGTGCACGAAGTGCGAACGATAAAAAAGTGAACGATCATTGCTTGCGCACATTTGTGCGGACGATGGACGAACGTTGTGCGGTAACAATCGTGGTTGGTGTAAATTGGGAATGCCTTAACAATATATTCGGTTTCGTGCATTTGTTTAAAACATAAACTTGATTATTTAATATGTTTCTATATTCTAGCTACATATATAAGCTTATCTTTCTCTTTATACTTTCTTAAATTTAGAAGTGGTGTTCTCATAGCATAAACATAGCCATTTTGTACTTGTACCTGGACACTTACGTAACTCGCCAAGGTGTGAAAACCAGGTGATGGGGAGTTATAGACCAAAACAAATGCAAATAATAAATACTAAACGTCCGGTTATGTTTTCATAACGGTCATACGGTATCACATAGCAGCTCTATCTGTCAGGCACAGGCCAGGTACAACACCGGGCACTCATCAAATTGTTATTTACCTATTCTGTTACCTAGGAGCTAGACCCATTCTTGACAGTCTAACGGTCACTGTAACACTGTAACACGCATTGTAAAATTGTACATAATCTTAATTGTTGTGATGAGAAATCACAGTAATATATACAGTGTACATTATTGCATACGAGCCTTCCGTATTTTTTTCATTCCGTAATATAGATCAACAAATTGTACCAAATCGCACGCGCACAATGGGGCGAATGATTGTTAAATCGCACCGTGTGTGGACGCTGTGCGGACGGTGTGTGAACGATGTATGCACGGTGTGCGCACGGTATTTTTTATATGCGTTGTGCGGTCACACAACCGTACAATGTATGTTAAATTCTCCATCCACGCACTGTCCAGTGGTTATCTGGGGTTAAAGAATTTGTTTCTACTTATTTTCTAAATTTTCCGTTCTTATTTTGTACATACATTTTGGTTTAGGACGTTTATGAATTACACGACACTTCTAAACTAACGTCAGGTTTTAGGAAATGGACAACAGTTTAGAACAGCCAATTTAATTTCATAGTCATTAACACAAAATTGCCTTGCGAAAAATGTCAAATTTGTTAACTAATTTCCAATTATTGGCTATCAACTGTCATGAAAACCTATGTCAATTAATTAAAAGGTTATCATTTTGGCAACAAATATCCGATTTTAGTATTCGAATTAACACAGATTACCTCTTTTTTTCAGAGTCAGTACAATGATAGATGAAATAAAATAACAGAAATTCAAATTTACTCTTTATATATAAAAGCTTGCGTGAGTTTCACAAAAATAATCTGAACAGTTTTCATTATAGCGAGCCTCTAGCGATGGTAAACGGGAAAAAAACCGAATGCTTTCTGCTGAAATGGGAACGAATTCAAAACCTTCTCTTATTTTATCTAGTTTTACTTTTTTAAAGATCGTATTTATCTCTTATCGTATGACATTTCTGTGTCAAACCAAGTACAAGGGTGTCGACAAAGAGCAATGGATCTTTACATTAACAACGACCTGTCAAACCTTTCATTTCCCCCCATAAATGTTGTCAATTACATTCAAAACGTTGCCATGTTAAAAGAAAAGGATGCTGAAAAGGAGCCGACAGATATTACTGTCATCAATTGTTTTTTTTACATTTTGCATACTTTTTCCTTGATGGGTTGTCAGTTTTTTGCAGCACTAAACAAGCAATTTCAATTAGATGTGTTGACATTCAATGATAAAAATCGTATATCGAAATACTTGCTTTGACTGGAAAAGTAGAAGCACAAATTTGGTGAAACCTGTTCAAAATCAAGCAATGTTTCACTGAAAATGAAAAACAAATAACCCATGGTAATTTCACCGTTGATATACAAGGAAATAATCTGTTTTCATCTATTTTTTCTTTTCTAGATACTTGTACAGCGAAGGAATTTATAATGGAGTCATGTTTTGATCAATTACGTATTCAAAAATGTTCCGAGGTGTGTGTTCTTGATCAAAATGGTGTTGGCTTTTTGGGATAATGAAATTGAATATCTCTTAAACTATTTTCCTCATTCTAAAAGGGTCTATAATGTCCTATAATAAATCAGGTAGCGGCGGAAATAGATCTCTCATAATTAATGTTTACGTTGTTGATAATTAACTCTGGCCAGTCTTACCTTTCGGCAATGACGAAAATAAATATATCTATTCGTCCGGAATAGCAGCACCAATTACCACGCCTTTTTGTGGGAAACAAACAGCTTGTTATCATAATCACGCAAGCGACGACACAGCAGGATTTCACACGTAACGAAATATATACGATACAAAACAATAATTATATGGAACAAAATGAAAAATATATATAATAAGACAGTGCGTTATTAATTGTGTTTTAACATTTAAATTTCAGCAAAAATCAAACCGACTTATATAAGTGCACGTGTTATGTGCATTACCCAAATTAGGCCCATGAGTATTTTTTGGTCAAATGAAGACCGGTACAAAGGCAGACATTGCCAGGCTCGCGAGTCAATTTGAAAATATAGCTTGTGTTCAAAATACCATAATAATACTTTAAATGTTAAGTAAAATGACCTATTTATAACTTGGATGTTGTTAGGGAAAAACTATTACAAGATGTAATTCGAGATTAATTCCTGTACATGAAGATGAATTATAAGGAAATTATATAACCAATATGTGAATGCATGTATTCTCTTGCTTTTGATTTACAAAAGTAGAACTCATTTGCGCAAGCTCGACTAGTTAGAGATAACTGTTAACCATATGATAAAGGTTTAAACATCTCTGAATTTATAACTCAGAAAACCTTGGATTCTGTCACATTTATCAGCATTCATTGTTCAAAATGTGTATCGATCTATATTATATAGAAGGACTTTGTGACAGCGTTGTAAACGGCAAGTTCCATTAAATAGTTCCATTCAACAAAGAGTTGAGTGGGGCTACTTGAAAGAGAGAATGCCTTGTACTGCACGTGATAGAGTTTGTAACTCTAGATGAGCTATATATATCTTTAATACAAACTCCACTAAAATGTATCTCTGTTGAGTTGATCATGCTATGTATCTCAACAGCTAAACGTTAGAGGTGGTAACCATGCATGAAACAGGTGAAAAGTCACAGACGCATTATATGTCAAACCATCCTCACACATG